GCTTTCTGCATAGATTGCTTCATAAACCCTACTAGTGTTTGGGTTTATCTTGTAGGTAGTGGGTGACCACTGGAAGTTTTATGCTAGTGCAGGTGTGTGTCAGTCAGGCCTGGAGAGTGATGCCTTCTACTAGGGGTGCAGAACTGTTGTGGGTGTAGTGATTTCTCCAGAGCCTCTTTGTAGAAGGCTTAATAGGAGCCAGAATCCTCACACACTTAAAAAAATAATAATAGATTGATTGACAGGCTGAGGTTGAGGCCCTGTTTCTGTGCTGTGGGTGACAAGGCCTTGGAGAGGAAAATGAGAGACAGGGAATAGCCCAGATGACCTTTGAGTTTCTACCTGAGGTTAAGAGTGTCAGCAGCTGAGGTAAGAGATGCAGTGGAGGACTGTTGGGTTTGTGGAAAAAAGGGTTTTACTTTGGGCATGTTGTGTTTGAAGTGTTTATTAAGGGTTAACTATTTACTTTGCTTAAACATCTTCTCATATTTAGGCTGAAATGTACTTCCTATTTTTATATCTCATCTACTTTCTTGTTTTTATCCCAAAGTCTGCTAAACTTGACTATCTACAACTTTCAGACAAAAAATATGTTCTATCTCTACTCCTTTGGACAGGGTTCTGTTCCCTTGGTAAGTCTCCCTTCTATCTCTCCTGGTGGAAAATGTTCTGTCCTTAGGGCTGCTCTTGGAAGGCCTACTTAGTTTCTGCAATCTCTGCAGCACTTTCTCTGTATGTATGTAAGTGTAAGCAGTTAGGATTCTGCAGCTACGTGTGTATTTCTATCACCATGGTGGAGCTTACTCATCTTTATTCCCTAAATGCCTAGGGTATTGTTTTAAACACAATATGCCCCCAGTAAGTGTTTACTGGCTTGGGATGGACTAGAAGAAGATTGTGGCTGGCTTTGGAGGACTGTCGACTGTTGATCTAGAGGTGCACATTTGGTGGGTTCTCAACACTGCAATCTTCCCCAGTACTTTTGTTAAGTTACTGAGGGTTATTTTAGGCAGAAAGTGAGGAACAGATGCATTTATCATGGCTTGAGAAACCAATATTCTCATATTCCCTCTGCAAGACTGACCAACACCCTTTACTTTGACAGATTATTGGTTTTATTTAGCTACAGTTTTTATTTTTCTGCCCTTTCAATTTCTTTGTTGAAGATGTAGCTAATTAACATAGTTCATAAACTAGAATTAATTCAGGGAGCAGAAATAGCCCTGAGGGCTCCTTTGAGCCATGGGAGGAAGGTTAAAATTCAAATTGCTTTAGCTCATAAGCAAGAAAGATGTCGCTGTTAACATGATCTTTGCCATAATGACAGTAGAATTAAAAGAAAAAATAGAATTAATTTGGAAAGAGCATGGTTGTAGAGCATGAACGTGTCATCTAAGTGTTAGACACTTTCTACAGAACTGGGGTCGAGATGCTTGAGTCATTGCACTGATGGAACAAATGAAAGTGAACCCCAGGCTTGCAGCACGTCCAGCGTGGTTCCCAGTGCGGGTCAGCATGGTTCCACGTGACGACAGTTGAAGGCTTGGTTCCCTGAGCGCATCAGTTTGGTGTTAGGGTCTTAGCAGCATCTAGAGAAGCACGCCTAAAGTAGGAAAGGTGACAAAGCCGGTTTTTGAATTTTAAACTTGAACGTATAATTGTTGTAAGCCATTGGAAATACACACGGTTTTCTGGAATTTTAAACTTGCATAAAGTTTATGGGACTTTCTGTTCCCAAAGAGTGGGAATTTCTGTTCTTTTATATTGCTTGAATCTCTAACGTAGCACCATTTCAGTGAGGAGCTCTTCCACACCTTCAGTTCTGATGAAAGTGCATCTTTGTGCACAGATTTATAGACTAAAAGAAAGTGAGCCAATGGAAACTCAAGCTGAAAGCCTGGAAATTTCAATGTGAGAGGAAGACAGAGAGAAAGAGGAGGTTGTATATCAGGGACAAAATGTAAAGTTAGTAAAACATGAGCTTGGATATTACATTAGAGTCATCTCTGCTGCAGGTTCAAAAAAGTCTTGAGTTCCTTACAAAAATAGAATATATTTTGTATGAAAAAGAGAAATATGAATTTCTTACAGAATAACTTGGGAGCTAATTTTACTGGCTGCCGGTATTCTCTCAGAATTGGGAGACATTTTCAAGTAACATGTGAACCCCACCTCCTTGGTGAGAATCATCTGTGCAGTGAATCACAGTCAGTGGCAGAAGTCGGTTACATTCCTATCTGAGTTGGGATGAAAAATAAAAAGATTCAGCTCTCTTTCTTTCATCACAGATTGCCCAGCCATATTTACTTTCTGAAATAAAACGAGTCATGAAAAGCTGTCACTTAACTTTGGTTTAGTCAATGCTAAATAATTACACTAGGGAATTTTGAGAGAAGATATATGTTCAAATAGCTTGTACAAGTGAATAACTTACCAGTTGCAAAGCACTTCTTAAATGGAAGAATAATGTTCTTATAGAATGTCCTCTCTCTCCTCTTGCTTTGGCATTTGTTACAAGTAACAAAGCATTTCTGGAATGCTCATTTTAATTTCCAAGCCCGGGCTATTCTGTGAAAAGCATTTGGTGCATGGAAGATTGAACAAAAGGGGAGGAACATGCAGTGGGAGGTGTCATGAATCCTGGCCCTCAGAATACGCTGTGAAGGAGCATTTCAGACAGTGATGTTATTCTTCATTTTGAACAAGTTGTAAACTAGGTGTTATAATTTGTCTTAATCTGGGAAAATATCTTTTAACTTTGTCAATATAAATTACAGTGACAGCAGTGCAATTTTGCTTTATGGAGTTTTTAAAAGCCCATATAATAAATCCAGCTTGTTGTTATCCTTATATAACACATGATGAAGATGCATGACCCAACTTATGGCTTGTAAAGCACATAGAATGTTGTTTGTTAACTTCTTTAACCACATCTAGTGTAGGAGGGTTCAGGAGCAAGATAAAATTAGGCCCAGGGAGAGTACCTTTGAAAAGGACTTCCATGACCAATTTTCTGTGTTTATGTGGGGAACAGACTTGAAAATACGCATTAAATGCCAACCAATAGTTGCATCATGTTATACGTTTAAAAAACCTTTACCTTCTTTAACCTTCATAACATGGTACAGCATAATGTGATTTCCTTATTCTCTAAGCAAGGAAACAAAGTCTTGGTGTAAGTCATCCCACTCTGGGGCATGAGCACAGGGATAAAGCAAATTGGGATGAAACAGAGGCTGACTGACCAGAAGAAAAGAAGTTCAGGCAAAATTATTTTCTTCCACACATTTCCTCTCTAGCTGACAAATTCTCAGTTCCTAGCTGCACAGTGGATCCAAATATCCAAGTGAACAAATGTCTAATGCTCCATATACTGCAAGCAAAGGGGTTGTAGAGCAGGAAGGATTTTCAGTAGGAGTTTCAGGTCTTCTGGGTTAAACACTGGATACAAGTACTGCCCCTTCCCATTCTTGTTTTTCTCCCTTTGTTTATGAGGACTTTCAAGCTTTCATTTGCTGGTGGGGGTTTAATTAGGATATAGAAGGAATGTATATTTTTCATAAAGCACTTCTGTCTGAGGTTTTTGTCTCCAAATACATATAAGCATATGAGTTGTATTTTCATTCCTCAATAATTCTCTTATCATAAGTGTGTTCTTATTTTTGTTCATATTTATTTCTTCTTTTCCACAGTTTTACTAAGGGGTAATCTACAAATACAAAGTTTTATATTTATTGTATTTGTTATTTTTTATACTTTGATGTCTTGATACATGTATAGGTTGTAAAGTGATTGAATAACTAATTAGCACATCAGTCATCTCACTTATCTTTTTGAGGATGAGGAATTTGTTCTTATTTTAAATAAGTTTACAAGTTTAAATAAGTTTGTAATATATGTTTATTATTATTATTAGTTTTTGTCTTTTTGAGACAGGGTCTCATTATGCAGTTCAGGTGGGTCTTGAACTCACTTTGTTGCCCAGGCTGGTCTCAAACTCAACGATCCTGATCCTCCTGCCTCAGCCTCCCAAGTACTGGGATGACAGGCATGTGCCACCATGCTTGGCTACAGTCAGACAACTCAAAATATGGACATTAAAAAATCCCTTCAGCTACCCCACTCATCAAGCCATACACATAATATTTATTGAACACCTACTGTGTGCAATATTCTCATTGCTGGAGAACTAAACGCATTTTGTACTTTCATGGAGTTTACATTTTTAGTATTGGCAGCATCCAATAAACATAAAAAATAAAAGTGCAGTTCCTGTGAGTGTTTTTAGGGAAAACAAAGTGGGGTGCAGTGACAGAGTGAGAGAAGATGGGGGCAGGACTGTCAGGAAAGGCCCTTTGACAGGAGACTTCAGAGGGCCTGTTGGAGAGTTTCAGTAAGACGAGAGTGCGAGGGAGACAGAGCACAGGGGAAGAGAGTTAATCATAGTGAGGACTCCGGCTTTGCGCTCCTATTTTGTATGTTTCAGTGTTTCCCCCCTCTGGGCATTACTACTATCTATTCATAGTCTTAGACTAATACTGTACCAACTTAATTAAAATTATTTTGCCTCCCTCTTAATATAGGTCGTTGGCTACAAAGTGATGGGTTTCATTTTCTAATTTGCTAGTTTTGAGACTTACAATTTTCCACTTTCCCTATTTTGACTACGTTATGAAGCTCTTGCATTTATTTCTTCATATGAAGTTTCTAGAGTTAGTGCACACAGACACAGACACAGACAGAGTCCCTTGAAACATCCGTGAAGGACGAGACTGGGTATCTAACGCTGTCTGTAGATGTCCACGTCTTTGGCTGAGAACTCAGTGACAGCTGGTTATGCAGCTCTTGGTGCCATAGCTTGACCACTCGGGCTGCACCAGTAGAACTGGGAATAAATCACATTACGGTGAACACTTTCTCTTCCTCTGGGCTATAGTATCTCAAGGCTTTGTTCTCCTCACACACTGTCTAATGAGTTACCTGTATTTTTCCAATTTTAGGTTACCACACTTGTAAATTGTCCCCAGAACCCTTCCAACAGGAAAAAAGGATGTTCCAAAAGAGCCAGAGTTCTTCTAGCTTCTGTGGAGGAAGCAACCTGGAATTTATTAGACAAGGGAGAGAAGATTGCTCAGGAAGCCACGGTTTTAAAGGAAGAGCTTACTTCTGCACTTGGGGAAGTTCGCAAAGAAAGTGAGTACTTCATCCTGGGCAGGAGCAAACTGTGTATCCTCAGGGTGTGAGTCACTGACTTAGATTTGTGAGCGTTTTGTTCTTGCTGGCTTGGGTTTATTAGTCTTTCACAGAGCTGTGAGGAACTAGCAGTGGAGGTAAGCTGCTCCTTAGACAGCTCCAAGGGTCCCAGTCCTAGCTCTTTTCTTTACTTACACAGTCCCTGCAGACAACTTTGCCCCCACCATGCTGTAACTCATATATAACAGACAAAGAGAAGACTAGTGCAACTGAAGACACATTTGCCCATACATAAATAAATTATGTTTTTCATAAGCAGTTGGGAGATGGAAGTTTCATATCTGCCTGAGTGCACTTTTTATTTTTCAGTTTTATGGACGTTTACATTTACTGAACTTTTTTTAACACTCTGGATAAACTATGCATAACCCATTTTGCTGCTTTGTTAATTTTACATAATAATAATTTGATATCTTTACTTACAAGAATTTTCTAATGAATGTAAGTCACTTCTGCATGATATTTAAAAAATTAGCCAAGAGAAAAGATTTTTGTGTACATTAGCTTGCTGCAGGTAACTATATTGGGAGGAAAAGGAAAGCTGAATTTTCTTCTTCAACTTTATAAAAGAGGCTTGGGATGTCCAAACATTTCCTTCTCACTGCCCTTGACATAACTTTAAGAAATTCAGAAACTCTTTTCTTTTCTTTTTTTTTTTGTCTCCTTTGATACAGGGTCTCACTATGTAGTTCAGTCTGGCCTTGAGCTCACTTTGTAGCCCAGGCTGGTCTCGAACTCACAACAATCCTCCTGCCTCAGCCTCCCAAGTGCTGGGATTACAGGTATGCACCACTATGCCTGGCTCAGAAAGTCTTTTCTAAACAATTACAATGAACACACAAACCACAATACATCTTAGGTCAAATGTATGATATGGGAGGTTATTTTTTACATACTTGAAATTTTAATTTTAACATTTTATTTTTTAAAATTAAGTTTATTGTGTATCCTTAAGGCATAAAATATGATGTTATAGGATCCATATGTACAGCAAAACGGTTGCCATAGTGAAACATTAACATATCATCTCACATAATTATTTTTTTTAGTGGCAAGATCAGCTAAAATTGAACAAAATTCCTGAATACAATATTATTAACTATAAATTTCATTTTATACATTAGAACTCTCAACTCCTTCATCTTATATGTATACTACCTTTTTTAGTTTTAGTTTTTGTAGTGCTAAGGTTAGAACCCAGGGGTGCTTTGTCATTGAGGTACATCTCCAGACTTTTTAATTTTTGTTTTTTTATGTTGAGACAGGGCTTCTCTAAGTTGTCTTGGTGGGACTCCAACTTGTGATCCTGCCTCAGCCTTCCTCATGCTGAGGTTACAGTGGGCACTACCATGCCCAGTTTATATTTGCTGCTTTGTAGCATTTGTAGCTCATGATCATCACTGCTTTATTCTCCACCTCTGTATTTTTATGTTTGAGTTCTCTTTCTTTTCTTTTTTTAGATTTCATCTGTAAGTGAAATCATGCAATATTTTTCTGTGTTTATGTTATTTCACAGCATAATGCCTTTCAGGTTTGTCGTGGAGCGTGGCAGGCGCTCTTCTTTTTAAAGACTAGTATCCCGCGGTCTGCATGCACACCGCGGCATCTTCCTCCCTTCAGCTGTGGGCACACACTCAGGCTGCCCGCATGCCTTGGCTGTTGTGACCATTACTGCAATGGACATGAATCGGGTGGTAATTCTGCATTTAATTTCCTCAGGAGCCCCATAACGTTTTCCTTACCCTTGCTACATACTTTATGTTTAAAGGGATTCTTTAAACAACACCTAGAAAATACAGTGCACACAGTAACTTGAAAGGAGTTTGTCATTCCTCTCTGCTCCCATCTGCCCCAGACCCACTCTCCTGTGTTATCTCATTATCTTCTTAGGCACCAGGACCTTTCCTTCCCATTCCACTTCCCTTTCAAATAATTCTAAACATGATACATTTTATCTCCTTGTACTTCTCAGATCTGTTCATCCTTGACATTGTTTCCTGAATTCAGAATGATGGCATTAGCCTGCTCCAAAGTCAAATAGTTTTTTTTTAAATGAAAATATCATTTACCTTTCCTGTTTATAATTCTCTTTCATGGCTATTGGAGGATTAGAGGGACCATTAATCTTTTTTTTTTGTTTTTATTTTTCTTAGTCCATGTTTGTAGTGATCACATTCCCCTGGGGAGCTGGTGCTGTGCGTGAGGCATCTTCATTCTTCCTTCATCCCCTTCCCTGGCCCTCCCTCCCTCTCTTAGCTCCTAAAGCATTGTGATTTGCCTTCTGCCTTTCTGTCTCATCTCATTTCCTGATTCTGCTGTACTATCTAACTTTCCTCCAAAAAAAGAACAGCTTGTGGTATCTTGAACTGTGTGTGTTGCTTTAAGCCTCTGCGCCTCTGTTCCCAGCTATTCTCTCTGCCTGAATCGCCCTTGTCATTCAGCCAGTCTTTCCTTGCCTAGCAAAGCTCTGTTGAGTTAGATAGAAATATTCTGGACAGTCAGACAGGGCCAGGCCCTCGAAGGAGCTGATACAGAAGACAAGATACCTTGCAGGTGGAGAGACGGTACTTGCTGCAGGCCAGATCTCAAGACAAAAGATTAAACAGCACACTCACAGATGTACCTGGGGATGGACATCAGGGATTGATATTCTAAATAGGTAGTGATCACCTTGAAGAGTCACTGACCCAACCCCTTACAGGAAAGTCCCTGTTCTGTGTTCATGCCCGCTTGCTACGTGACTGGTTTCCCCATTTGATCCCGATTTAATCAATTTTACCTAAACAATTCTTACTGGCTGACCATAGTTTTGTCCCACCTCATGCCAACCTTGTGATTTCCCATTTACTCCCCACCTTGGACCCACCTCATCTCGTGATTTTGCTCTGTAAAAATCCCTGGAAAAGACAGGTTCCCTGGGCAACCCACTTGGGCCCCCTTCTCTCCCTCTCTCAGACAGAAGCTTTCTTTCCCTCAATAAATATACTCTGCTCTTAAAAAAGAAAAAAGCTCCACCCTGCTGTCTTTCCAGGAAGCACTTCCTGACCCTTTGGATTCTTCTCTGTGTTCTTCTGGACTCAGCGACTCTTTCACGGGACCCACAATTCTGTAAACACTGATTTACTCATCTAGTAAGTCTAGACTCTTCGTGCTGTCTTGATTTACAATATCTGACACATGCGACACTTGATTAATGTTTTTTGTATAAAAAAAATCAAATCACTTTATCACTTCACATTATAAACTTTGTTTTTACCTTGAATCTTATGAAAATTATCTCTTGCAGTTATAGTTTCACTGCAGTCTTTTGTAAGGAATATAAGCCCTATTCTGATAATGTTCCTCTCTGAAAATGTGATGATTTGACAGCATAGTTTCCACATGCTGTCTGGTAATAAATATGGAAGACATTTGTCTTTCTTAGGCAGGAACAACGATTATCATCTCAAGGTGCTTGCTTTTGTTTTTAAAATGAATTAGCCTTTTAAGCCCAATAGAAATAAGTTCTATGAAAGAGATATTCTCGAGAAGTCTGGATTCTGGAATTATGCAGTAAACTCTTCATTGTGTTCATGTATGAAATACATGTACATGTCACAGTCTGTGTATACAATAGATACATTTTGTTAAAGATCAGCAAGTGTGTGACACTCTAATTCTTGTGACAAACTGCCACTTTAGTGTGGGAGGAGAGCAGTGACATGGCACATGCTTCTGGGAGGCACAGCCAGTGGTGATCCCGTGGAGAGCAGCAATAGTGAGAGCATTGTTCCTGCAACTTGGAAGGAATTTGAGCTCAGTGGTGGAGCTGAATGTTCAGGAGGGTGGGTTCTGACCCGGTCAGCTCAGTGTGACACTGTGCACATATTTGGAATAGTTCTCCCCCTTGCTTTTAAAGGTCTTGACCAGTGGCATAATGTGAAAGACTGATGATGTACAACTATTACGTTTTATGCGTTTGGAAAAGTTAAAAACTATTGGAAGTGGAGGATAGTTTTACTTATATATTTGTTGAGTTATTTTCAAGAAAAATTTTAAGACTAATTTAGAAATTTTCTCCTTCTAATAAAGACAGTGTAATTTATGTAGCCTTACTATGAGATTCTGTTGTATTCTGACTTATTGCTTTAAGTGGCCTTGTTACAGATTCAAAGTAATAAATAATGTGGGCATTTTGCTGAACTGAAGAGCTTGCCTGGGGAAGGTCGAGCACAGGTTATCTTGGGGGCGGGGGGTGAAATTAAAAGTGACATGTGGATCCAGGAGTAGAGTGGTTCTGCAAAGGTGGTGTCCATTGCAGATTACCTGTGGTTACCCTGGAGCTTATAGTTTACCCAGGTGCTTATACCTGTACATTAGCAAGGCATTAAATTGAACATTTCATGTAGAGTTTAAAATTATTCACATAATTACATAGAAATTAGGTAAGCATTGTTTATAATGTCTGGGTTACGTGTTTTACCTATGGCATACACACCAACTTTGTGTAGACACCACTCCCCTCCAATCTAGAGACACTATTTGTAAGTCCCACATGAAGTAATACTATTTAAGGTTTTAGTGAGGATTAACATGTATATAGAAAACGGCATATGTTATTGTGAAGGACTCAATAAACTGTCGCATAGTGAGCATAATCATATAAACATCCCAATCAAGAAATACGATATTACTGAAGCTCCAGAAGCAGCGCTTACGCCTCAGCTAGTTACAGCATCCTCATCTCGAAGGAAATCATAATTTTTCATTCTAATGCTGTAGGTTGCTTTAGTTTCTTTGTGACTTTTGTGTGAGATTATGTAGCTTGTTATCTTCTGAGTCTGACGTTTGCTCCATGTTAGAGGTCTGTGAGAACTTACCATACAGTAGTTCATCATTTTCACTGGTGAACAATTATTTAACCATTCTTTACTGATGGATGTTCGAATTCTTTCCAGCTT